GACAGACAGAGAGACAGACAGATGAACGACAGACAAAGATAGACATACAGACAGAGACATATGGGCGGACAGAGACAGACAGACAGAGACAGACGGATGGATGGACAGGCAGACATACAGAGAGAGATAGACAGACAGATAACAGACAGACGGATGACAGAGATAGACAGAGAGACAGACGGACAGACAGACAGACAGACAGCCGACAAAGATAGACATACAGACAGAGACATATGGGCGGACAGAGACAGACAGAGAGTCAGACAGACAGACATACAGACAGAGACAGACGGACGGATGGACAACAGACAGAGATAGACAGACAGACAGACAGACATACAGAGAGAGACAGACAGACAGATAACAGACAGACGGATGACAGAGATAGACAGAGAGACAGACGGACAGACAGACAGACAGACAGCCGACAAAGATAGACATACAGACAGAGACATATGGGCGGACAGAGACAGACAGAGAGTCAGACAGACAGACATACAGACAGAGACAGACGGACGGATGGACAACAGACAGAGATAGACAGACAGACAGACAGACATACAGAGAGAGACAATAACAGACAGAACAGACAGACGGATGACAGAGATAGACAGAGAGACAGACGGACAGACAGACAGACAGACAGATAGACATCAAAGATAGACATACAGACAGAGACATATGGGCGGACAGAGACAGACAGAGAGACAGACAGACAGACATACAGAGAGAGACAGACAGACAGATAACAGACAGACGGATGACAGAGATAGACAGAGAGACAGACAGACAGACAGACAGCCAACAGAGATAGACATACAGACAGAGACATATGGGCGGACAGAGACAGACAGAGAGTCAGACAGACAGACATACAGACAGAGACAGACGGACGGATGGACAACAGACAGAGATAGACAGACAGACAGACAGACATACAGAGAGAGATAGACAGACAGATAACAGACAGACGGATGACAGAGAGAGACAGACAGACAGATGACAGACAGACGGATGACAGAGATAGACAGAGAGACAGACGGACAGACAGACAGACAGACAGACAGCCGACAAAGATAGACATACAGACAGAGACATATGGGCGGACAGAGACAGACAGAGAGACAGACGGACATACATACAGACAGAGACAGACGGATGGACAGACAGAGACAGACGGACAGACAGAGAGACAGACAGACAGAGACAGACAGAGAGGCAGACAGACAGAGAGACAGACAGACAGAGATAGACATACAGACAGAGACATATGGGCGGACAGAGACAGACAGACAGAGACAGACGGATGGATGGACAGGCAGACATACAGAGAGAGATAGACAGACAGATAACAGACAGACGGATGACAGAGATAGACAGAGAGACAGACCATAAGCAACACATTATTCAATGTTTTTTACTTTTGCATTTACTTCTAGATTTAGACTCCGAGACAGACAGACAGTGAGTCAGACAGACAGACAGAGAGTCAGACAGACAGACAGACAGAGAGTCAGACAGACAGACATACAGACAGAGACAGACGGACGGATGGACAACAGACAGAGATAGACAGACAGACAGACAGACATACAGAGAGAGACAGACAGACAGATAACAGACAGACGGATGACAGAGATAGACAGAGAGACAGACGGACAGACAGAAACAGACAGACAGACAGAGACAGACAGACAGACATACATACAGACAGAGACAGACGGATGGACGGATGGACAGACAGAGACAGACGGACAGACAGACAGAGACTGACAGAGAGACAGACAGACAGAGATAGACATACAGACAGAGACATATGGGCGGACAGAGACAGACAGACAGACATACAGACAGAGACAGACGGACGGATGGACGGACAGACGGATGGACAGACAGAGATAGACATACAGACAGACAGACAGAGACCGATATAAAGATAGGTATACAGACAGACAGAGACAGACGGACAGACAGACAGCTCTTACGATGATTTCCCGCTCCCGGTGGCTCCTAATATGGCATTCAGTCCTGGCCTCATGATACCACTAGAGAAAATAGCACAGAATTACTTCATAATTATCATCACCACTTTTTGTTCATCATCATATAATCACATAAAGCAAGATAAAACCAAACACACATGGGATGCTGATTGGATGAGCCTCATTTGAAGCTGTTGTGAAATGCAGTTTCTCTTTGGAAGACAATTATATTAAAAGACTGTTGTTTGCTTGACTACAGTGAAAAAGAACAACTACAACAAATGCCATCTGACCATATCAAGTGCTCACATGTCACATTTACCTACTAGACTAATGTAAGATGACATAATTCATATTCATGAGTTGCTGCTGATTTTTCGGGTGAGGAATCCCCTGATGCGGCCGATCACTGGAGCTCATGTGTCTGATTGACAGATAAAATCATTTAATGAGTTCAGATCAGGAAATAAACATCCGCAGTAACGCACACTTACACAAGCAGCTGAGCGCACATAGACACACACGGGTTAATGATCAAACCTACCCGACAACTATCTGACTTGCTAATTATGTCTCTAACACTGTGTAAGGGTCACGTACTATGCTTTATCTAAAATGACTTAAACAACATTTTTAAAAAATATATAAAATTTTATTTATTTTATTAGGTAATTGTATATTACATTTGAATATGTATTATATTGATAAAGATTTAATATTTTAATAAATATTACATATTTATTAATAAATATATATTCATATTTAAATATTATATTATTTAATTATGATCACAGTAATGGCCTTACAAAATACAAGATTTAAATAATATGTACTTTTTAATAAGAATATTTGCAAAATAATGCAAAAAAGGTCATTCTCATTAGGGTTATTATAGTTCATGAAAACTAAACCCATTAAAAAAAAATGTAATTAAAAATGTAACTAAAATAAACTAAAAAAAAAAAAAAACTAAAACTAAAACCTATTTTATTTCAGCTAGATGCCAAGGCAAAATTTCTCATTTTCATTTACTGTAGTTTAACTTAATGCACTAAAATAACAAAAACTGAATAAAAAATTTATAAAAAAACGTACACAGACATTAAAAAACAAAAATTAATAAAAATGACAAAAACACAACAAAATCACTAAAACTTTAACTAAAATTAAAATGAAAACAGAATGAACAGAAAACATAAAAATAAAAACTAATTCAAAATATTAATAAAAACTATATACAATGATACTAAAATAACATTACCAGGGAAAATATTAATTTATTTTAAATAACTAAAATTAATTTAAATTATTTTATTAAGTACATTTCTAAAAGTACAATTAATAAAGTACCAATTTAAAAGTATCTGATTATAGTATTTACTGTCTAAAAAAATCAAAACAAAAAATAAAGATATTAAAAAGTAGAATGTTAAAAAAAAAAAATCCATAAATAATTTAAATAAAATATTAATATTTAAATTTTTATGAATAAAAATAAAAGTATTGCATTCTGACAGGATACTGTATAAATTTTATACAATTTTCAAGACTGTATTATGGTAATGAGAACAGGATTACTTTTGCATTTGAGGGATAAATGTGTTTAATCAAGAAAATAAAAAATGCAAAAAATAAATGAATTAACTAATCTTTATGCAACATACCATTTCTTAACATTTTGATCTTGGAGTGAAATACGACTCAGATGTCAGATGTTTCGAGTGAAAAATACTGATAGGTGTAAAATTGCCAGATTATTGTCCTGTCACATGATCCAAATTCTGTAATCCGGTCTGTTAAAGACGGACAGCAAAACGAGACTCTTATCTGACAGCAGGGCAAAAGTCAAGGTTTGATGGCGCTCATCCATCCACAACCTTTAAATCAAGCACTAAAATAAAGTCACTGCACTGCAACCCTCAAATGTCTCATTCATGCATGTGTTTTCCATCTCACGCCTTGTGAAACTATTGTTCAGCAGCGGCTTTCATGTCGGACAATGACCTGAACGCAGCGGGTGTGAATACGTAACAAAATCAGGTTATGAAAGCGTAAACATGCACGTGTTTGTGTGCTTGTATAACAATGCATTAGCATGCATGTGTTGCCAAGTCTACTGAAGCACATACAAACGTGTGTTTTTTCAGTGCATATTTAGTTTCTCTGGAGGCAGGGTGCAGGAGTTTGTTGAAACATCTCCATACTTCCTTCCATCAATTCACAGAAGTCCTCCCTGGTGGATTCCACAATCACACAACCACACAGCGCCTTTAAACACACGTTACCCCGCATCACGTCCACACTTATGTTCCCAGACCTACAACCTCGGAATTATCTTCTCTATTTCTTTCTTTACAGCGAATAATAACCATGGCTTTCATTCAAGGGCCAAATGTGACACAGTTCCTCTCGAAAACAAGTCTGAGCATGAGATCTGACGCAGTGCTGCTGGTCACCGGACGAACACAAAAATAAACCACATTTTTCAAAGGAACATGTGAAATCAAACTCATAATAAACCAGATTCTATGACAACTACATTAATAATTATAGTCGAAAAGCCAAATGCAGGAAACATCTGTCCTGCAAAACCTGCAAAAGCCCTTTATTGAAAAAACCAAACATTTGTATCACTATAAAAACTTAACAAAACAAATACATAAAAAGACACATACAAAAACAAGATATTTTAGTATAACAGAGATATTAGAATTTTAATTAATATTTATAATGCTTTATAAGTAATAATATATAATATTTCTGTATAACATTTTTGTGTTCATTTAAATTTTAGTTCAAGTTTTAGGAATTTTTATGTGTGTTTTTGTCATTTTTTAAATATGTCTATATAGTTTTTATTAATAATTATAATATTTAATATAAAAAGAAATAATTGTTAATAATACTTAATTTTATTAATATTTTAAATTACTCTATTTTTTATACTTTCTGGGGTTTTGTTGTTGTTCATTTTAATTTTAGTTAGTTTTAGTCACTTTGTTGTGCTTTTTGTGATTTTTATTCTTTTTTTTAATATGTCTATA